ATATATATATATATATATATACACATACATACACCCAGATATAGATATAAAACTATTTGTCACTATACAGCTGTAAGAAATGCAATCAGATAAATGATATCAGTTAAATTACAATGTTAAAAGTTAAAACGCTAAAATTGACATAAAAACTAAATACTGTAAAACTACAACGAAAACTGCAGCAATAAAAAAACAAAAGAAAAAGAAAACAACAAAAATGTGCTGTGAATTGTAAACTGAAAAGGATCAAATAAAATATATATAAAAAAATAACCTGATTTTATTTCAGCTAATTGTTAAGGCAACATTTCTCATTTTTGTTTAGTTTAACTAAAATATCTAAAACTATTAAATAAAAAATTATAAAAAATAGACATTTAAGAAAAAAACAACTAATAAAAATGACAAAAACAACCAAATTTGAAACATTTTAAATAAAATTAAGAGTGAGAACAGAAGATATTGAAGTTAATTTTAAATGAACAGAAACTATAATAGTGTACCACTGATACTAAAATAACACTGGCACAAGCACATAATATCTGATGACTGTACCTGAGTGTATGATCATGTGCCGATGAAGATGGTTAGACAGATAAAACTTCTTCCCGCAGCCTGGATGAGGACAGACTTTGGTCCGGCCCTTCCTGTGCACCAGGTTCACGTGATTCTGTCCAACGTACATCATAAAAATCTTAGAACCAGAAGCAGACAGTGTGATTTTTAGCTGTACTTTACGATTGTTGCTTGTCCGACAATAGGATAAGAGCTGCATAAGATCTCGCTCTGTGTTGTGGTAGAATATTACTTATTATGATGTCTTGAATATTAGTTACATACTGTAACATCTCAGAAAAATAGCTGATCCATATTTGTAATTACTTATTCATTTATTACCAGCCCTGCATCTTGAAAAAAAATTCTGCTGGGTTTGATACATATATATATATATATATAATTTAAATGTACAATTCCATTTAGTGTCAAATCTGTAACTTCTGTCACTGTCTGAATGTAGAAAAACACCCACAGATGTAGCAGAAAACATCTTGCTCATGTTTGCATTTTCTTCAGTCACTGCCCATAATTCTTACCTTGAAATCAGGATTAGGCATAAAATAATGTCCTCAGAATGAATAATACACTCTTCACTGTACAAATGATTGTCAAAAGCAAAAATGCTACAAAATGCATCATATTTTGTGAGAAAGTGTGATGTGCTCGAGCAAAACAGGCACTATTTTATTTTTTTGCAATCAACACCTCAAAATTAGTAAGAAACTTAGTATTGGATTTGGTTCAACATGATGCAGGGCAGCGTTATCAATGCGATTAATTTGATAAGCAAAAATTAACCAACTCTATAAATATTTAGCAGACTTACATTCCAATGTTTACAATATTTAACCCATCCTGTATGTAGGGAAATTGTATTTCCTGTTACTAAGGTGCACCAAGCAATTAAAGGGTTAGTTCACCCAAAAATGAACCTTCTGACCCTCCCATAGACAGCAAGGTAACTACCACGTTCAAGGTCCAGAAAAGTACCAAGATGATCGACAAAGTAGTCCGTGTGACATTAGTGGTTCAACTGTAAAGTTACGAAGCTACGAGAATACTTTTTGCACAAAGAAAACAAAAATAATGACTTTATTCCACATTTTCGTCTCTACTAGTGATGCAGTAGAGACGAAAATAAGGAATAAAGTCGTTATTTTTGTTTTCTTTGCTGTCTATGTTTACCTTGCTGTCTATGGGAGGGTCAGAGAGCCCTCAGATTTAATCAAAAATATCTTAAATTGTGTTCCGAAGATGAACGAAGGTCTTACGGGTTTGGAACAACATGAGGGTGAGTAATTAATAACAGAATTAGCATTTTTGGGTGAACTATCCCTTTAAGTGGCATTAGAACGTTTCCTTTGACTTGAGCAATAAAACAGACAAAGCACCTGGTCAGGTTTACATCAATGTGTTTCACAGTATATAATTTTCCAGCTTCTATTTTTGACTGTTGTACTGAGGCATTGGTTGGTGCTCTCAGGGATTCTCCAGCCGCAGCCTCATTAGACATGCACTGCACACATGAGCTCACCTGGAAACTGCTAATGGCCACGTACACCTGACTGCAGCCTTCATACGGACAGTGGAACATCTTCAGCATGCCGTCTGCCTCGATTACTGGACCCCGCCGGCTCCGCTTACACCTGACACACAAACACACACCATGAGTGACTTCAACTCATTTCGTAGAGCACGACGTTGTGAAACACAAAGCGGCATAACATTTTTAACATTTGTGAGGAGTTTTTAAATCGCCGTAAAATAATAATGCACAAAATATGATGATTTGGTTTCCACAAAGATATTAAGCAGCTGTTTTCAGCATTGATAATAAGAACCATTTTTAATAATTGTGTACCAGTAATAACTGATAGCAACTGAGCAGCAGATCAGCATATTAGAATGATTTCTGAAGGATCATGTGACACGGAAGACTGGAGTAATGATGCTGAAAATTCAGCATTGCATCACAGGAATAAATTACATTTTAAATTACCACTCCACCAGGCTTAGTTATTTGAAATTTTAATAATATTTCACAATATTACTGTTTTTACTGTATTTTTAATAAAATAAATGCAGCCTTGATGACCATATAGGATTAAATTAAATACTTAATTATTTCAAACATTTCACTAGTAGTTTCTATCAATTTTCCATATTTTTTAGGTTAGAGGTCATGTATGAAGAACCCAACCCAACTCAACCACAAACAGCTGGAAAATCACTTCCCGCAATTTCCTATCATGAGTTGTTTAATTGCTGGAAAATCAGGCATGTGAAAAGGCGTAACAATAACGGTTAAGGCGTGTACAAAATTAGGACATTCAGATGTCAGTCAATATACACAACTGATTTTTAACTGTTTTTGAATGAAGTCACTTATGCTCAACAAAACTGCATTTATTTATTCAGTAAAATACAGTAATATTGTGAAATATTATTACATTTTAAAATATCAGTTTTCTATTTTAATATATTTTTAAAAGTAATTTATTCCTGTGATGCAGCGCTGAATTTTCAGCATCATTACTCCAGTCTTCAGTGTCACATGATCCTTCAGAAATCATTCTGATCTGCTGCTAAAGAAACATTTGATGTTGTTTTTGTGGAAATCATGATACATGTTATTTTTCAGGATTCTTTGATGAATATGAAATTCAAAAGAACAGCATTTACCTGAAATAGAAATCTTTTGTAACATTATAAATGCCTTTACTGTCACTTTTGATCAATTTAATGCATCCTTCCTGACACTGATGCAGTGTTCATTTCTTTAAAAGATAATCTTACTGACAACAAACTTTTCAACGGTAGTGTATCAGATGAAAAAAAAATATATATATATATATATATATATATAAACGTAAGAGGTTTCATGCGTGGCTGTGGCTACTGTGAAAAACTCTAGGTCCACACTGACTGACCTACTGAGAGATTGCTGAAGCGCTTTCGAACAGTGAATTTCTTCACCGGGATCCAATAACTGCTTCTCAGCCAGATCTGAAATCATTAAACATCAACAGAGTGTCTTCAGAACATCACTAATTTAAAAGATTACTGAAACCGGTGAAACTAAGCTCACAAGGAAGTAGTTCAAAGCGGTTAAATTGCTTCAAAGCACACATTGCTAGCACACTATGATTGACTGATGAGTCATGTTTAAGAGCTGAAATACAGGACAGGTCAGAGGTCAGTGGCCGTTGAGGAGCGTGATCTCACTGTACCGGCGCTGGGACGTGACTGACACATCTGATTATACGACACGTCCCCGATCAGCGTGCAGGTGACCTCCTCAACATCACCGCCAGCCACGTTCAGCTGAATGCCTTCAGACGCCAGAGCCTCGTAACTTGGGCCTGTAATAATGATCAGCTATAGGAAGGATGGAGGGAAGAAAAAACAGAGAAGTAATTAGGTAATCCAAAGAGTTTAGAGTTTACCGAAGTCTGGGATTAAAAATGATCATTCTGTCTAAACCGAATGAGTTTCTTCTTCTGCTGAACACAAAAATAAAACATCCTGAACAATCAGTGGTGGTCAAGTACCACTGAAGTATCATAAAACTTGTTTGCCTTTTCTGAAGTCATATGAGAGCCGTGTGACAAATAGATCAAATTTAATCAATTTTTGCATATTCAAATTTCAAAGTCATAAGGATGACTTTTATGGTGTTTTATTGGAGTTTTATGGTGCTTTTTGCTGTTTGACCACCTAAAACCTATAACCTATAAAAACCTATATATAGGTTTTTATAACATTTTACAGATTTAATGAATGTTACTAGGCAGCTGCGAGAAATGCAATGCTGTTAAACATATTTCAATAATACCAGCAAACACATCAACTTTGCAGCAATAAAATACTAAAACTAAAAGAAAAACTAAAAACTAAAACTAGAAAACACTGAAAAACTACAACTAAACTAAAGAGAGAAAATAACAAAATTCGAATTCTGAATTGTACATTTATGTCAATTGGAAAGAAGAAACTGCAAATAAATTTTCATTTTATCATCTAATACAATTTTGACAATTATTTTTATTGTATTTTTATGGTGATTTTTGCAGTTTGACAACCCCTGGCCACTAAACTCACTCAAATAAAACTGTAAATGATCATGAATTAATTTTAGTTTTAGTTACACAGTGTATTGGACAAGTTAACTGTATAACCTTTTCATAAGCTATGTGTTTTTATATTATAAACATTTTATAATTTTAACAAGGGCTCATCAAATGCCACTAGACATCTGTGAGAAATGCAATTGCATTTAAATAATATATCGATGAAAACATGAACTTTGCAGCCTTTAAATACTAAAACTAAAATAAAACAATTTGGCAATCCTTGGCCACTAAACTCACTCAAATAAAACTGAAAATTACCATGAATTAATTTGGGTTTAGAACACAGTGTTTTTATAACATATACATTTTATAAATTGAATGAAGGCTCAATAAATTGAAAATGTCACTATACAGCTGTGAGAAATATATTTAAACATATTTAAATAATATCAGTGAACACAGTAACTTTGACAACCATAAAACTGAAATAAAAACTAAATACTGGAAAAATAAACCAGAAAGCACTGAAAAACTACAACTAAACTAAAACTATAATCAAGAGAGAGAAAATAACAAAAACTTGAAAAATTGTACATTTATGTAAATTGAGATTATTATTATTATTAATGTAAATTGATATTACAATGCTATGCCTTTACAGCATGGGAAAAGGCAGCTTGCAAAAACTACTGTGTGACAGACAAAAGAAAGTCATAAAACTTTTGCAACAACATGCAGTGGAGTAATAACTATTTTAATAACTATTTTAATTTTTAAATGAACTATTCTGGTAATAACCATTAGTAGTTCTTTTACCAAAACATATGACACATGAATATGATATTCAATATTCAGTCCACCCAAAATGAAAATTCTGTCATAATTTTTGCAACCCACGATTTTGATTCCCACTGACTTCCATAGTATGGATGTTTGTTTACGAACATTCTTCAAAATATCTTCTTTTGTCTTCCACAGAAGAAAGTCATTCATACAGGTTTAGAACAACACGAGGGTGAGCGAATGATGACAGAATTTTCATTTTCCCTTTAAAACCCTTTTAAAACACCAGATATGCAAACGGACTCATTTGACTGCAAACGGTCAAATGAGGGGACGTGTTGTGACAATGGACGTTCCCTTTCTGTGGCGTATCCATAGGGAACTTGTTTACATGTCAATATATACAATGGAAATCAAGCAAGGACGCAATAAGGAATTTGTGTGCCTTACAATGCAATACTAGGAAACACCTTAACAGTAAAACACCTTTACAATAACTGGTTTCTCAATTACATAACAAGGGCTGTGTTTGTAACGGAGCAGTATCATACTGTTTAATGCATACTGCGCAGCATACACTTCATACTGCCTACTGCTAGTATGTGAAACAAAGCACATTATACAATCATTTTCAAATATAATTTGTAAGTCCATCTCAGAAATTAATTTATTTTGCATTTTTAGCCCAACTGCATGTAAAAATTACTATCAAATAGTTAATTGCAGCCAATATTACTGATGTTTTTATTCACATAAAATGGATGAAGTTGAGTCCATTTAACTTAGATTTTTGTTTTGCAATTCTAAAAATTACAAAAAATATTGTTAAATATTTTTATTTAAAATCAGCATAAAATGTTTACATTATTTTAGTATTTATTGTAGTTGCTTTAATTTAAATTTAATTATTTAAATTCGATTTAATATGTAAATAACTTGACCTAAAAAAAAACAACTTTATTTCTTTTAGCAAAATATAATTTTTTCTTAAGATTTTTGGGGTGAAGTTCAAGTATACAGCAGAAATAGTATACAGTAAAGTAGTATCTCAATCTTTTTGAGTCCAAGGCCCCTCATTGTCAAAGACAACATCTGAAGACCTCCCAAAATTTCTAGTATTTCTGCTGTAATGATGAAGCGGCTTGTTTTTTAAAATGAATTTTATATATATATATACATATATATTATTATTATTATATTAATTAATCCAGAATGAAAATTCCAGAAGTTTCAGTAACCAGTGTTATTTTGGTATCACTGATTAAAAAAAAAAAAAAAAAAAGTTTTTGGTAATATTTTGAATTAGACTTTAATTTTATATTTCCCATTTTCACTTTAATTTAAGTTTTAGTAATTTTATGTATGTTTTGGGCATTTTTATTAGTTTTTTTAAATGTCTGTATAGTTTTTAATCTTTTTTTTAGATTTAGTTTAATTCGTTTTATTTATTTTAGTATTCCACGTTGCACTAAACTAAAAATTATAATAAATGTTGCCTTCACAACTAGATAAAATAAAATAACTTTAATTTTTTTTTAAATGTCATTTAAATTTTTTTTTTTTTTAAATTTAAAAATTAAATTCAAATTAAATTTTTATGGTTTTAGTTTTAGTTAACTATAATAACAAATTGTATTATGAATTTACTTTAACTATTTAATTTATTTTTTTAAATATTATTTTTTTAATCATTTGTGATGAAGGATTTTTTATGCAAAATTATATTTAAAAAGCATATTTTGTTTTATTTTAAATAATTTTAAGTAATCTTGTGGACCCCCTAGAGGGTCTCTTGTGACCCCTTTGACCTACTTGAGATCCTTCCAGTGTGGAGCGCTGATCCGGCAGCTCACATCCGCCCATCACAGTCTGCAGGTCCTGACTCTCAAACAGCTGGCTCTGCGCTGGGGCGGCCGACAACGATGGGATGCCCTCCACCCCACCTTCTCTAGAACAGTTTGCTCCATCCTCCCTCTCCTGTCTGTCCGTCAAGGGCGCCGTGACAACCACGCATTCGTAACTCTCCGTCAAGCCACCTCCACTGTCCGCCTTCTCTAAAGTTCCCGAAGCGTCCGTCTGCTCCTTGACAGGGTCGGTCTCTCTCGCCGCATCCTCACTCGAAGCTTTTCCATCGGTCTCAACCAGAGCGGCCTGGGCTTCTCGGTCCATGAGCATCTCCATCTCCCATGGACAGCGCTCCGAGGCGGGACTGCTGTGGGCCGCAGGGGATCCTGGGAGATCACTGAGGGATGTGCATGTCATCTGATGCTCCACGTGGGAAGGATGATCATTGTCTTCCAAGTCACTGATGGCGTCTGTAAGATTAAGAAGAGATTTGATTCATTGTTGCAAGTTAAATCCAATATGACAGGAAAATGGGGGTTAGTAAGCTGATGGAAATCTAAAAACGAATGAAATCATACAAATAATGCGTGAAATCAATGTAAATTGAAAATAAATAAAGAGAGCTGCACATACAAATTGAGATAAAAAATAAAATGTTAAAAGCTTGAAGGTTTGAAATTTTGAAAATGAGAAATTTAAAAGCTTTGCTCTCATTATTTTAATAATAACAACAACAAAAATAATAATACAATATAAATGACAAATGTTAATATAAATCATATATAAAAATATACACAAACATAAATAATTTTAAGGTAAATGCTATCAAAACAAAACACTTACTGAAAAGATTAAATATTTTATCTGTTTACTTGCATGCAGTGTTATTTTAGTAACAATTATATACTATTATAGTTTTTGTTAATATTTTGAATTATAATTTCTTTTTATATTATCTGTTTTCACTTTTTATTTTAGTTTTTGTGTGACATTTTTATTAGTTTTTTTTTTTCTTTGAATGTATAGCATTTATATGTCTAGAATGTACAGTATCTATAGCATATAGTATTTATTAATTTATTTAGTTTGAGCTATTTTAGTACTTCAACATAAACTAAACAAAAATTAGAAATTGATCACTTTTGACACTGGACAACCAGCTGAAATTAAACAAGTTAAAGTTGTTGTTTTTTCCAGTAAACATTTATTTTATTTCAATTTTTTTCTTCTTCATGGTTTTCGTTTTTGTTAACAATAATAACCCTGTTTGCATGTCATGTAACCATTAACCATGATCAGAGGTCTGTGAAAATGCAAATGCGTCGTTAAATTATCGAAGAAAATATTTTACATCTAAGAGGTTCGGCTGACAAAAAAAGTTTGGGAAGCCCTACAAAACGACATGAACATAGTGTAAGGCTTTCCTACCCTGCAGCTGCCTGTGGTTTTGTGGTTTCTTACTTTTGGTGTTGATACTCTCACTGACAGTAGATTTCTTCTCTGGAGGCCTGTCTTCTTCATCTTTCTCCATAACACCATCCTCCACGTCTGACTCGGACTCGCCTCCTGCAGGCCAGGGCAGGTACTGCACAAACGAATGACCGGCCACACATTGCCACAGTGCAGATGTAGACAAACCCACAGTGGGCTCCACCACCTGCAGCTCAGGCTCGTGCTGACAGGACTGACAGTGACCTTGATACCAGCTCACCACCGTCTGCAAATTGGTGGCAGACACCTTCTTCCCTGCACAAAAAAAAAAAAAGCAAGATGATAAACTACTACTTTTTAATTTAAATTACTGCTTTTATTCACTAAGGACACATTAAACTGATCAAAAGTGACAGTGAAGACATTTATAATGTTACAAAAGATTTCTATTTTTGATTCCACAAAAATATGAAGCGGCACAACTGTTTTCAACTTTGAAAATAATAAGAAATGTTTTTTGAGCAGCAGATCAGCATATTATACTGATTTCTGAAGGATCATGTGACACTGAAGACTGGAGTAATGATGCTGAAAATTCAGCTTTGCATCACAGGAATAAATTACATTTTACAATCTATTCAAATAGGAAGCAGTTATTTTAAATGGTAATAATATTTCACAATATTACTGTTTTTACTGCATTTTTAACAAATAAATGCAGCCTTGGTGAACATAAGAGGCTTCTTTCAAAAAACATAAATATCTAACCCACCTCAAACTTTTTAACTGTAGTTTATATTCCGAGAGAGGCTTAAAAAACACTATTTTGAAAATGAATTAGGTTAAATTAATAAATATTTCTCACCTTTCCCATGACTGCTGCATTGTTCAGGAAGGGTTTTCCTCCTGTCCATCACAACACAAGAGACATGTTACACCATTCATGTTAAAAAGAAGCTGAAGCTACATGAAGCTGAATAGCAAGCACAGCTGTCTCTGGTTCCCATCCACTTTCATTGTAATGAAAATAGTTTGGGATTTCTGCTAAATATCTCTTTTTGTGTTCAACACAAGAGGTCAGGTTATAGTACAGATACCATGTACAGTATAGTATCTTTTCAGGGAAAAACATGGCAATACTGTTTGGTACCTCAAAACAAACAATGCAGCATCAGGTTACCAAAGAACACAGAAATATTTGTGCACACAACAGTCCACGTATGTATGCATGCAAAGCAATGTTAACACATTTATCCAATTTACTGCACAGTGTTTTTGAGTGATGCATGATCAAATAGGGCGTTCATGAAATCCGAATACGTACTTGCCGTGTTTCTGCTGGTATTTTTCTCCATATGCAGAATTGAGCAGGATTAAATACTCCGCGAGCCCCGCGTCGCTCAGGCTCGTGCGCCGGCGCAGCTCGCTCCAGACCTGATGCGCTTCTCCCAGATAAACCCGCCGCACATCGTACTTCTTCCGCGATTCGAGCCGCCGCTGAGCACGGTCCGCGTCTGTCAGCCTCGGTCGACCCCTGCAGCGGCGCAAAATGGCTTTGATGTGCTCTCCCGTGGCTTTGGAGTCTGTGTTTACCGCCGCCATGTTTCGTATCAGCTGTTGAGTTGTTATGTTTTGTCTTAAAGGGAAGTGCGGTGTGTAGCCTTAAAGGAAGTGGATTATTTTGTTTTATTTATTTATTTTTAAAATTTTATTCAGTGTTCTATTTTTTATCTTATATTTTTTAGATGATTAATGAGTAAAATCTACGATAAAATTATTTTTTAGTAATTTAAAACGAGGATCACTTAGTATGTATTTGAACCGACACTTTGGTTTGACCAATCAACAGTCAGCTCTCTTTAATGGTAGCCAATCAGATGCGCCGTTCCAACAGTAGCCAGTGCGACGTCAAGTTCGCGGTAGAAGAAGCATGTACAGTAGCTGTAGAATAGTCATACTCGCTATTAATAACTGCAGTAATTTGAACGCAAATTGTTATGGCTGATATTTTAGGAGTCGTTTTCAGACGGTTTGCCTCAGGAAATGTCACGAGTGATGTAATAGATGCCAAATATAACATTTTCTGAAATAAAGTCACCTAATTCATGTTTCCATGCGTGTTCATGCACAGAATGTCAAGTTTGTGTATGTGAAGACTTTGGAGGATCTTCTTGAAGATATAGCATCCCTTCACGAGCTGGCGTCCGAGGCCGCGTCTCCTTCATCACTGATTATCGTGGACAGTCTGGATCATTATTTGCACGGGTCTCGAGTTGGACCCCTACAGGACGACCTGAGCCCTGTGGCCCATGTAGCGGCCCTCCTGCACGACACCGCTGCTTTTCTCACCCAGATCCTGCAGAGCAGAGCAGACGGCCAGGGCCTGTGCAGGGTCATGGTCTCCTTTCACTCGGGGATGTAAATATCAGTAGATCTGTGTTATTTCTAGCAGCTGTAACAGCTGCCACAGATCTGGGGCTCAAAGTGCTGTTTTTCACACAGACCCCTTTTCGAGCTCTACCGGTTTCTTTGAGGGCTTCAATACCTGGATTAAAACTAGAGAGTCTGAAGGTAATAATAATGGTTTGTTTAATGAGCGTCATGATAATTAAGAATATGTAATACAAGGTAATTCAGCCAGAAATGTCTTAAAAACCCTGTAAATGTATTTGCATGTCTTTGTAATACATCGTAATACATGAGCCATAAAAAGTGTGTGTGTGTGTATATATATATATATAGGTAGATGTAGATGTGTGTGTTTGTATGTGTATATATATATATATATATATATAACACAATAAGGGCCTCAATTAG